CATGTTTCCCTCTAGCTACAGTTCAAATTTCATGCTATTTCTTTGAGTATTTTGAACGTTATAGGCATTTAAATTTTTTTAGCTCTAGTTCAACAAGAGCCGTCCGATCGCGCCTTCAGAGTGATCGGACAGCCCAGAAATGACCCCGTCCCCGCGGCTGGGTTAGCTGACTCAATTAAGTAGAGGGTCCCACCGTGCCACGTTGCGCGTTCCCATTGGGCGCCGCCATTCCGGCGGTCAGTTTGACCAAGAATGATAAAAAAATTCAAAAAATGCTAAGATCTTCCAAAATTCTTAGAAAATCAAATTTTTTACCAAATTGGACGTTCTTGGGCTCGCTGAAAAGGGAATTTAATTTAGTATTTTTAAAATTAAAATCAAGATGATTTGGCTTTAGTATTGTGAGATATTTATAGTTGTTTAAATTATGTTTTTTACAATTTTCTCACAATCCAGTGGTCAACTGGAGTCCAAATTTTTGTGGAAGATTATTGTGTATCTTTGGCATGTTTACTGATTTTTCTAGGGTCCGATACCTAATGGATTTCTATGATGTGAATTTTCAAGGTAAAGGGTCTATTTTGGACCTTAAAGTTTAAAAATTCATAACTCTTTAAGTTCTCAGTGTTTTGCTTTGATATTTCTGTGCTGTGGATAGGGGTGCAACTAAGTCAAGTTGACTCGCGAGCCTGTTCGAGCTCGACTCGATAACAGGCTCGACGAGCCGAGCTTATCGAGCTCGCGAGTCGAGCTCGAACACAGTTTCGAGCTCGATAGCTTATCGAGCTCGAGCTCGAACAGGGCTTAGACTCGGCTCGTCGGCTCGACGAGCAGCTCGATTGGGCGACGTGAGCGAGATGTTCCAAACGACTGATCTCCACGGCAAAGCCTCAGGATGATGCAGAACAAGCTCAGGCGGATGGATCTTGACGGCGCAGCTCGGAACGACGACGAACGAGCTTAGGAGAACGTACGTATCTCCACTGCGAAGATACAGAGCTCAGGCGAATCTCGACAGAAAAGCTTCAAGACGATGAAGAGTTGAGCTCGGGCGGACGGATCTCGTTGGCGGAGCTCGGGCGAATGTATCTCGACGGCGGAGCTCAGGATGACGACGAACGAACGCGATGGTGAGTTCGGGCTGGCAGATCTCGACGCTGAGCTCGGGCGGATGTGTCTCGACTGAGGAGATCGGGCGGACGTGTCTCGAAAGCGAACACGATGAGCTCAAATTGAGCTTGACGAGCCTCTCGACATGGGACGAGTAGAGCTCGAGCTCGGTTTTTGAGCTCGACTCGAGTTCGAGCTTGAGCTCGAGCTCGATTTCTGGTAGTCGAGTTCGACTCGAACAACCCCTGGCTCGAGCTCGTCTCGACTTGTTTGCACCCCTAGCTGTGGATTCATGTATGTCAGGGTTAGATACACCAAATTTCAAGCCAATTTGAATAGTAGAGACACCTAGGGAAAATATTTTAAAAAATGTCTAGAAAACTTAGAAAATTCCTAGGGCATTGTACACACACCCAAAAGGAATGAAAATTGAACACAGTAAATATAATGACATTTTAAACCATAGGTTCAAATTTCACCCAATTTTGAGTTCATTAAGTCAGAAAATTAAACAAGTCAAAGTTAATCCCTTAATTAAGCTTTAAAACTTCCAAAAATTATAATAAATCAAGTTTAAATAAAAAAACACAAATAAACCCTCAAACTGACCAGATTTTATCCCTTAATCAACGAAAAATAAAATCAAATTGATTTGACAGCAAGTTTGGCTTTAATTTAATTTTAAGTGAAATTGAATATTTAATTAAAATAATTAATTAAATATTATTTAAAATTCCAAAATTTTCCCAAACACTTGAAAATCTTTTCTTGGGTCATTCCTGACCTTTGGAGTTGATTTCAAGGAGTTGGGAATTCATTTGGAGCAAAATCAAGAAAATCCTTCTAATTAATAATTTTAAAAATTCAATAAATACATCAAACTTTAAAAAATCATAACTAACTCTAGAAAACTCCAAATTGACCAAACTCAATGGCATTCAACTCAAAATCAAGTCTAGTGTTTATTAAAAATTTTAAACCTTCCAAAACCAGTCAAAATAAAAAAGCCAACAAATTGGTCAAACCTAGGTCAAATATAGTCAAATCTTCGAACCTTCATAACTAATTGTAGAAAAATCCAATTTCAGCGTACTTATAGTCTAACTGATCATATTAAGGTCTATTATTTTAATAAAATACTAACTTTATAGAAAACTCTCTTAATTGAAAAGTCAACTTTTGACCCCTTAATTAAATGATTAAAATAATCCAGAAAATTCTCAAAACTCAAAAATTACTCTAAAACTCCAGAAATGTTTATTCATCCTTAAAATTTGCAATGAACTAACACTTAAAAGTAATCTTAAAACCAATTTCAAATTATTAATACTTAAACTCAAATTTAAATCTTCCCTTAAGCATTTCAACCAACCAGAACTTCAAACAACTTTAACAATTTGCCCTCCATAGGACATATCCAAACCACACGACTTATATCACACACTTTAGATGATTTGTTAGGACAACGAACTCTAGTTCTAGGCTAGGTCGGTGTTTACTTTTCTGCTGTGTGCTGGGTTTTTGAGCTTTCACTATATGTTGGTTGCTAGCTTAGAATTGATGTGTTTGTTTACTTACTTTTCTGCACTCTGTATTGTGAATAATTGAGCATTTTAAATTTCAAATATTAACTGCTTGGGATTGATTATATCTGATTGAGACTAAATATTAACTGCTTGGGATTATTTATATAACTATTGATTATTAGGATAACCCTGTAGGATCGAGTCAAGATTTTTCTTTTAAATTTAAATGTAATTTGATTATGATATGGTTGTAAACTCCTTAAAGTGACTTGAATTTGGGATATTTAATCCAATTTGAATTCCAAAGAGGAGAAGACAGCCCTAAAGGGGAGAGTCTTTTTTAATTTGGAACTCAAATTAGGATACTTTTCAAATATTCAAAGAGGAAAGATAACACCCCGTTCAAGGGGGAGTTTCTTTTTATTTGGATATCCGGAACTGATGAATCAAGATGCTTATGAGAAGATAAAGAAGTGGATATCAAGAAAAATCCCAAATCTCAAAGTCACTTGAGTCCTAGGTTTAGAACTCGAGTTGTTGTTAGTGGTGTCCGGCCACTTTACTTTCCGCAGACCCTGGTTTGTAATAAGCAAGGCAACTTTGCCTATGGACTTTCAGTTTGAATATTAATTTAAATATTTGATTGATGTTTGATGTGATTGCGTATAGAACTACCTGCTTTTTGTAGTTTCTTGGCATTTGTATGCCACTTTTGTTTTTGTTTGGACTCGTGAGACTTGTGAGGGTGTGAAAACTCTTATACTCATAATTTTAAAGTTTAAAGATTTTAGCGAGTTTGAATAATTTAGAAAGATAATGAATTCAAGGAATTAGCCGGGGATCAACCCCGGGGTCGCATGCATATTTCTGCATTTCTTTTCTCCTTGCTTTAGACCCTTCCCCGCCTGCGGGTAGAGTCCGGATAGTCTGACCAATGAGGATGAGGTGCCAGACCTAGGGAAGCTTAGTCTTCTAAAAAATTATTTTCTAAGCCTGTTTTTAACTTTCAAGCATATTTGATTTAGAGTTGTTAACTAGCATGCATTGCATTAGAAACAGATTTAAAAGAATCAAAATTTTAATTGCATTAGTCCTTAGCATTTTGCACCCAGCATAAGTCAAAGGGGCCAATTAAAAAAATCTCTAGATGTCGGCCCAAACTCTTCAAAACTTTAAATAAAACGTCCCTACCACTCTTTCATAAAAGACCAGAATCATCTAGATGTCGACCCTAATATTTAATCTCCTTTAACTTTTTAAAATATTTTTATCAAATATAATGATACCATAACATATGCATATTATCTCAAATATCTCACATAATTTGTTTAGTAAAAAGTGTATAATTCACATTTTATAAAGGGTTAAAGACAACAACTTGAAACTCCTATGATGTGGGACTATAAAAATTGCATGAATAGTTTATAATATAATTTGAGTTTATTTGGGCTACTTGGGCTTAAAATTTGGGTTTAATTTGGTTATTAATTTGGATAATATGTATTATAAATTTGCTATAATATATATTATAAGAGCTAATAATATAGATTTTTAATAATATAAATTTCTATATTATATTAAATATTATTTTTATAAATATATTTAATTATAAATATATAAATATATTATTTTTAAATGATATTTATATTTATAATTTTGTATTATATATATTTTTAAATTTATAAATATTATTAAATGGTCATATATTTAATTATTTATATTATATTAATGATCATAAATTTTTAATTATTATAAAATTTATATTGATATTTTAAATATTATTTATAAATATATAATATATTATTCTTAAATGATATTTATATTTATAAAATTATATATTAATTATTTTAAAAAATTTAAAATATATTAAATGCTCAAATATTATTTATATTGCATTATATTTATTAATTTTTTAATTTTTTTAATATCTAATTTATTTCATTATGTCATTCCGTTCGGTGAACGCGGTCGAATCCATGAACTTTTTCCTTCTTTACTGTTTCTTTTGTCCGTCCGATTTTCACGAAATTTTGATTTATTAAGTGATATATATGTTGATTTTCTTGAGAACTTAAATTTAATATTTATAATTCCTAATTATTTAATAAAAAATTCATTATGCATTAAAATTATAATAAATATTAAAGTTGTACGGGTATTATATAAATCCCTTGGCAAAAAGATAAAGGATTAATTTGAGCCGTTGTGAGTTTTATTACTATAGAAGCCTCAAGTTTAAAGCTCGAAAAAAAAAGACAAAGGAAATAGTAAAAAGATAATATTAGATTAAAATTTTGGCTAATTAAGAGTTTTTGAATAGGGCTTGCCTAGATTGCCTTATGATTTATTTGCGTAAAAAAAAAAAAAAAAACGAAGATCGAAGTAACTTAGACCGTTGAAGACCTCAGTAAGATTAGGGTTTTTTGTCGTTTCAACTTCGAGTGCCGCTTGTATAAATCGAACTACCTCTTTCAGTTTCGTCAACTACCTCTTTCAGTTTCGTCGTAGACAAAGAAGTCGTCAGAGAGTGCCTTTCAATGGAGCAGAGCATGTGCCGTTTATTCGTAGCAGTGATCTTACTACTTATCGTATTTGCTCACCAAATCGGTAGATCAGATGGCTCGGTTTCATCTTCAGGAGGGAGCGACCTTGACTACTCGAAGCTATCGGGAATCATCATCCCGGGCTTTGCCTCGACTCAGCTGAGGGCGTGGTCAGTGCTTGACTGCCCCTACTCTCCGCTTGACTTCAACCCTCTAGACTTGGTCTGGCTAGACACCACCAAGGCAGGAAAAACCTTCTTCCCATGGCACTTGATTTTTATAATTTCATTATACCGCCATTATAATCTCCCAGTGGGAGTTTTTTATTGAATTCTGTTTCATTCCCATGCCGGGTGTTTATTTTATGTTTCTCCGAGTTAATATGGCGGTGGAAGAATGAAGCTTGATGTGTAAGCTATTATTATTTTTGGTTTTGCAGCTTCTTTCTGCTGTGAACTGTTGGCTTAAATGCATGTTGTTGGATTCTTATAATCAAACTGATCATCCTGAGTGCAAATCGAGGCCTGATAGTGGCCTATCAGCTATAACAGAGCTGGATCCTGGTTATATAACAGGTGATATTACGGATATGTTGCTTCTGTATTGAAAGTTGTGCACATTTCCTTTTCTTGCATCTCTTGTATTCATATACCTTGTTTGATTATAATTGAATCTATGCAAATTAAACATAATCTCTCAACAAAAGAACCAAATTTGATACACCTTGGAAGCAAAAAACAAATAGAAAAACTACAACAAAACTACAATGGTGATTGATTTTGTATTAATACTTCAATAATAGAAAACAAGATACAGGTGATTTACAATTTGAGAGGTAGGTCAGCTCTCCCAATCAACCTAGACGTTGCTAGGAAGCCCTCATAAAACTCTAGACAACTCCCCCTTAAATAGCCCTAGAATACAATAACATAAATAGAACATTCCTAAATAATTTAAATATATTTTAGGAAACATTCTTAAACAATTAAACATAATTTATGAAAACTTCATAAGCAATTAAACATGATTTAGGAAATCTTCCTAAACAAATTAAAATATTTAGGAAACATTCCTAAATAAATTAAACATAATTAAGGAAATATTTCTAAACAATTAAACATGATTTAGGAAACATTTGTAAACAATTAAATATGATTTAGAAAACATTCATAAACAAATTAAATAGCTTCTCCTTAATTCTTCCTTGTCACATAATGCATAATAGCTTTCTTGGGTCCCACAAGGTGGGTCTCCCATGATGTATCAATACTCCCCTTCCAAAGAGCCATCTTGTACTCAAGGTGGTACAAAGGAAATTGTTGCTGAAGAATATATTTCCGGTTGAAAAGAAAACGGGCAAGTAGTTGTAATCCTAGAATGCATTTCCTCGTTGGATCAACATGAAACAGGTGTAACATGTTTGCTGCTTAAAATTCTATCAACAATTTGTTTATGTGAAACAATACATACATTTTTCTTTCCATTTCTCTTTTGTGAAGAATCTCTCCAAACTCGTGTCAGCATAACCTATACTTACTTGGTTTTGGGTTCTGAATTAACAAAATCTCCAGCGGTAGAAGAATGTTCTATTATTTTAGAAGAAAATGTATTGCCCTTAAATCCCTTAATAGATTGGATAACTTTCTTTTGTTTTGCACTCAACTTATCCACCAAGATTTTATGTGAACTTGAAGAATAAAAAGAATTAATAGGTACATAATTTTTAGTTTTCTCTGAAGTCTCTTCATTATCTTGGCTTATGAAGTCTTGATGCTTGCAGACTTCGGTGCCTTTTTTATTTTCTTTTGGGAAATTTGCTGGTGAATCAAGTTTTGCTAATGAAGTTTTACCATCAACATCCAAGGATACTTCAGTTGAATCTTTCTCTGCACCAGGACTAACAATCTTTATCATTTCATCCCCATCAATCTTGCTTGGTACAACTTTCTGATCTTCTCTCGGCATATCGTTTTTGTGATTCCCCCGTGTTTGCGATATGGAGCCACCTTAGCTTGATTCTTTAACATTTATTTCATCATCTCCTTGAGATTTCCAAACCTTGCTTCCATCGATGAAAAACACTCATTAAACGACCCCAAATCTGTTTGTAGCTGCCCTACTTCCCTCTAGAACTTCCAACACCTTAACTCTTCTCCGGTCTCCGATCCCAAGAAATTGCTTTGATACCTTGGAAGCGAAAACAACAAACAATAAATAGAAAAACTATAGTAAAACTGAAACGGTGACTGATTTTGTATCAATACTTCAATAAGGGAAAACAAGATACAAATGATCTACAATTTAAGAGGTAGATCGACTCTCCCAATCAATTTAGATGCCGCTAGAAAGCCCTCAAAGAAAAGAACTACAACATAACCAAAACTCAGTCATAGTATCATGATAAAATCCTAGCAACTCCCCTTAAATATCCCTAGAACACAATAACATAAATAAAACCTTTCTAAAAAAATTACATATAATTTAGAAAATCTTCCTAAACAATTTAACATAATTTAAGAAACCTTCATAAACAATTAAATATGATTTATGAGACATTCCTAGACAAATTAAACATAATTTAGAAAACTTTCCTAAATAAATTAATCATAATTTAGGAAACTTTCCTAAACAATTAAACATGATTTAGGAAATATTCCTAAACAATGAAGAATTAAATATGATTTAGGAAACCTCCCTAAACAAATTAAATAACTTCTCCTTGATTCCTCCTCCTCACATTCAAGTTTAGGTATATATAACATGTACTTGATGATGATTTTGCTGATGACCTTTCTAAAACAAATATCTTCCAAGAATTATCATTTTTTTGATGTAAGGCAGCGGCAACACATGGATGAGACTCTGTTTATGGAATCTTTTTTTTTCTAACAAGACAGTTATTGGTTTCTTAAGCTCATCTATTTCTATAGGATGTCATTATATAACGGGGAAGATTAGTAATCAAAAGCCTGGTAGAAAATCTACTGCATTTTGAATTTATGTCAGAGATATTATTCATCCGGCAGTTCAGTGTGAGTAATATCAGCAAATTCAAAGAAAATGCTAGGTATTATATGGGAAAACTCAACTTTTAAATTAGGAGAAGCTTTGTTTAGGTGTAGGACATGAAATGAAGCATTATAACAAATTTTCTTTTTCAACGCATTGAAATTGACATGCTAAAAATTAAAAGATGCAAAGATGATCTTAGCTAAGAGCCCATGACAATCAATTGAAGTTTTTTTTTTTAAAGCTATAAAGAGGCTCGTGAGTAATTTAAGAAAGGTATTTGCGATGCAAAGAGCTTAGAATGATTTATATAATATATTAGATACTAAGGAGGGAGAAAAATAGATGTATAAGTTAGCCAAACAAAGAGATAAGAGTAGTAAGGATTTAGTTCAAGTGAAATGTATTAAGGATGAAGATCAAAATGTACTTTTCTTAGAAGATGATATTCAACAAAGGTGGATAAGATATTTTGCTAAACTTTTTAATGAAGAATATGAAAATACGATTGAATTTATTAACTTTAACACCCTAATTGAAAATAAAGATTTTTGTTTTTATCGGCGTATTAGTAAAACCGAAGTTAGAGAGGCTTTAAAGAAAATGAAGTGTGGAAAAACTATTGGACCTGATGATATTCCAATAAAGATATGTAAATACTTAGGAGATGAAGGAATTTCTTAGCTTACTAAACTTTTTACTTGCTTTGAAGACTAAAAGATGCCAGATCAGTGGAGAATGAGTGTGTTAATTCCTATTTTAAGAATAAAGGTGATGCACAGGAGTGTGCAAATTATAGAGGAATTAAGTTAATGTGTCTTTAAAACTATGAGAGCGAGTTTTGGAGAGTAGGTTATGGCGTGATACTAATATTTCTCAAAAATCAATTTGGATTCATGTCGGATAGGTCTACTATGGAAGCCATACATTTATTGAGAGGTTTGATGGAAAAATATAAAGAGAATAAGGAGGATCTACATATGATATTTACGGAGGAGATCAATGCCATGGCCGAAGAAGCTCGCAAAAGGGATAGTTACCTTCAGAACTTGCGAGTTCCGTTCCTTACTTCCGATGAAAATGTCGCAAATTCCGCTCGGACAGGTAAAGGAACGTCGTCGAAGGAGCGAAGTCGAACGAGAACAAAGGAGCCGAAGAAGCTCTCGTGCAATCTTACACCTCCTGCGAAGAAATGAAGCCGAACAGCAACGACGCGAAGGAATCCTTCGTCCAGCGAATTTATAACCCGCTCATATTGAGCGGGTTTCTAATTCGCAGAAAACACTCTACGTAACACACTCCTAATGCTTCCGTGGATTTTCTTTTGTCCTACTCAAAATTAACCAAACAACTAAATTTAGTAAATACATGTATTTGTTTTACTTTACACTACTAATTCAGGCAACCAAACAGCCCCTAAATAGCTCTAAAACACAATAACATAAATAAAACCTTTCTAAACAATTTAAATATATTTTAGGAAACCTTCTTAAACAATTAAACATAATTTATGAAAACTGCAATTAAAAATGATTTAGAAAATCTTCCTAAACAAATTAAACATATTTAGGAAAAATTCCTAAATAAATTAAACATAATTAAGGAAACATTTCTAAACAATTAAACATGATTTAAAAAACATTCATAAACAAATTAAATAGCTTCTCCTTAATTCTTCCTCATCACATAATGAATAATAGCTTTCTTGGGTCCCACAAGGTTGGTCTCCCATGACGTATCAATACTCCCCTCCCAAAGAGCCACATTGTACTCATGGTGGTACGAAGGAAGCTGCTGCTGAAGAATATTTTTCAGGTTGCAAAAGAAAATGGGCAAGTAGTTGTAATCCTGGAATGCATTTCCTCGTTGGATCAACGTGAAACAGCTGTAACATGTTTGCTGCTTAAAATTCTATCAACAATTTGTTTATGTGAAACAATACATACATTTTTATTTCCATTTCTCTTTTGTGAAGAATCTCTCCAAACTCGTGTCAGCATAACCTTACTTGGTTTTGGGTTCTGAATTAACAAAAGCTCCATCGGTAGAAGAATGTTCCTATTATTTTAGAAGAAAATGTATTGTCCTTAAATCCCTTAATAGATTGGATAACTTTCTTTTGTTTTGCACTCAGCTTATCCATCAAGATTTTATGTGAACTTGAAGAATAAAAAGAATTAATAGGTACAGAATTTTTTGTTTTTCATTATCTTGGCTTATGAAGTCTTGATGCTTGCAGTCTTCAGTGCCTTTTTTATTTTCTTTCCGGACATTTGCTGGCGAATCAAATTTTGCTAATGAAGTTTTACCATCAACATCCAAGGATACTTCAGTTGAATCTTTCTCTACACCAGGACTAACAGTCTTTATCATTTCATCCCCATCAATCTTGCTTGATACAACTTTCTGATATTCTCTTGGCATATCGTTTTCGTGATTCCCCCGTGCTTTTGACAGAGCCGCCTTAACTTGATTCTTTAACATTTATTTCATCATCTCCTTGAGATTTCCAAACCTTCCATCGTTGAAAAACACTCATTAAACAACCCCACATCCCTTCGCAGCTGCCATACTTCCCTCTACAACTTCCAACACCTCAACTCTTCTCCGGTCTCCGATCCCAAGAAATTGCTTTGATACCTTGGAAGCAAAAACAACAAACAACAAATATAAAAACTGTAGTAAAACCAAAACGGTGACTGATTTTGTATCAATACTTCAATATGGGAAAACAAGATACAAATGATATACAATTTAAGTGGTAGATCGGTTCTCCCAATCAATTTAGATGCCGCTAAAAAGCCCTCAAAGAAAAGAACTACAACAAAACCAAAACTCAGTCATAGTATCATGATAAAATCCTAACAACTCCCCCTTAAATATCCCTAGAACACAATAAAATAAATAAAACCTTTCTAAAAAAATTAAATATAATTTAGAAAATCTTTCTAAACAATTTAACATAATTTAAGAAACCTTCATAAACAATTAATTATGATTTATGAAACATTTCTAGACAAATTAAATATAATTTAGAAAACTTTCCTAAACAAATTAAACATAATTTAGGAAACTTTCCTAAATAATTAAACATAATTTAGGAAATATTCCTAAACAATAAAGAATTAAATATGATTTAGGAAACCTTCCTAAACAAATTAAATAACTTATCCTCGATTCCTCCTCACATTCAAGTTTAGGTATATATATAACATGTACTTGTGATGATTTTGCTGATGACCTTTCTAAAACAAATATCTTCCAAGAATTATCATTTTTTGATGTAAGACTGCGGCAACACATGGATGAGACTCTGTTTATGGAATCTTTTTTTCTAACAAGACAGTTATTTGTTTCTTAAGCTCAACTATTTCTATAGGATTTCATTATATAACGGGGAAGATTAGTAATCAAGAGCCTGGTAGAAAATCTACTGCATTTTGTTTATGTCAGAGATATTATTCATCCGGCAGTTCAGTCTGAGTAATATCAGTAAATTCAAAGAAAATGCTAGGTATTATATGGGAAAACTCAACTTTTAAATTAGGAGAAGTTTTGTTTAGGTGTAGGACATGAAATGAAGCATGATAACAAATTTTCTTTTTCAACGCATTGAAATTGACATGCTAAAAATTAAAAGATGCAAAGATGGTCTAGCTAAGAGCCCATGACAATCAATTGAAGTTTTTTTTAAAGTTATAAAGAGGCTCGTAAGAAATTTAAGAAAGTTATTTGTGATGCAAAGAGTTTAGAATGATTTATATAATATATTAGTACTAAGGAGGGAGAAAAATAGATGTATAAGTTAGTCAAACAAAGAGATAGGAGTAGTAAGGATTTAGTTCAAGTGAAATGTATTAAGGATGAAGATTAAAATGTACTTTTCTTAGAAGATGATATTCAACAAAGGTGGATAAGATATTTTGCTAAACTTTTAATGAAGAATATGAAAATACGATTGATTTTAGTGACTTTAGCACCTTAATTGAAAATAAAGATTTTTATTTTTATCGGCGTATTAGTAAAACCAAAGTTAGAGAGGCTTTAAAGAAAATGAAGTGTGAAAAAGCTATTGGACATGATGATATTCTAATAGAGATGTGTAAATACTTAGGAGATGAAGGAATTTCTTAGCTTACTAAACTTTTTTATTTTGTTTTGAAGCTAAAAAGATGCCAGATCAGTGGAGAATGAGTGTGTTAATTCCTATTTTTAAGAATAAAAGTGATGCACAAGAGTGTGCAAATTATAGAGGAATTAAGTTAATGTGTCATACTTTAAAACTATGGGAGCGAGTTATGGAGAGTAGGTTACGACGTGATACTAATATTTCTCAAAATCAATTTGGATTCATGTCGGGTAGGTCTACTATGGAAGCAATACATTTATTGAGAGGTTTGATGGAGAAATATAAAGAGAATAAGGAGGATCTACATATGATATTTATTGATTTAGAGAAACCATATGATAAAGTTCCAAGAGAAGTGCTATGGAGAGTTCTTGAAAAGAAAAGAGTTAATAATACTTATATTCAAATCATTTAAGATATGTATGCAGGAACTATTACTTGTGTTCAAACACAAGGTGGTTTGACCAAGTATTTTTCTATTTCGGTTGAATTACATCAAGGATCAGCCTTAAGTTTATATCTTTTTTGCTTTAGTCATGGATGTTCTCACTAGACATTTGCAAGAATATGTACATTGGTATATGCATTTTGCTGATGGTATTCTTCTTGTTGATAAGACTAGAGAGGGAGTCGGTAAACTTGAATTATGGAGGTCAACCTTAGAGTTTAAAGGTTTGTCAACCTTAGAGTTTAAAGGTTTTCGCTTGAGTAGATCTAAAACTGAATATATAGAATATAATTTTAGTAGCAATAGACCTAGTGAGGGGATTGTGACTTTGGGCGATCAAGTCATTAATAAGAGTACACATTTTAGATATCTTGGATCTATTGTTCAAGTGATGTTTAAGTAGATGGGGATATTATCAGCAAAATGCAAGTTGGATGGTTGAAGTGGAGGAATGCATCGGGCTTGTTGTGCGATAGAAAAATCCCCCTCAAACTTAAGGGAAAATTCTATAAGATGGTGGTGAGACCTGCAATGCTTTATGATGTCGAATGTTGACCATTAAAAGAGAAGCATAATACTAAGTTGAGTATTGCAGAGATGAGGATGCTTAGGTGGATGAGTTGCTTTACCCTTAGAGATAGGATACTAAATGAGCATATACGTGAAAATGTTGAAGTTGCTTTAGTGGAAGATTAGATTAGAGAGAGTTGCCTTAGATGGTTTAGTCACATTAAACGGAGGCCTTCTGATCACCTGGTTAGGAAAGTTGAGGTATTAGATTTGACTTATGTTAAGAAAGGTAGAGGCAGACCTAAAAAGACTTGATTAGAAAATATTAGAAATGATATTTCTTTATTAGATTTAAAGGAGAATTTGACTTTTAACATGACAATGATGAAAAATGATTCATGTAGCCGACCCCACGTAGTGGGACAAAGGCTTGATGTTGTTGTTGTCAGGTGATGTTTTTGTTGGATTATGTTTGGGTATTTTGTCTAAAGGTTTGATTAGGAATAACTTGATTGTTTTTTCATTAAGTTTTATAATGTATATGTTATCTCTTCCAAAATGTATGGCATCCATGCCATATAACCATGGCTTATCCAAAAGGATATGAGCAATATCTATGGGAAGAGCATCACATCATTTGAGCTTCATAATTCCATACATGGATAAAGCTATGGGTTGATTTGGAACTTAGCCTATTAATAAATAGATACGAAGTTCAGACTCACTACCAATGCCAGACCTGTTTTTTTGAACGGGGGAGCACAAACCCCTCTCTCTTCATAGCCTTTCGCTTTTAAAACAGTCCATCCTTTTCATTGGATTTAAAGGCCCAGATATGCTTATACATTCACCTGCTTTTATGATTGTGCAAAGAGCTAAAGTACTTGGCATTTCTTTTTAAAATGTACAGTTGTTTCATCAATTGAAATGGATAGAAAGTGAACTCGTTTGTTTTTTTTTAATATGAGAAAAAGGCCAAAATGATCGGGCTCTTTATAAAAGATCAAAATGATCATTTAATATAGTTGAGAATTATTTTGTCCTTCGTAAAAAATTAAGGGACAATTTTGATTCATTCTTTTTTTTTTTAATTAAATATTTTGGTATGTCAAGTTGTGCTTGTTTGCTTCTGGTAGTGATTTGGTTGCATAAAGTTGAACTGTGATAAGCATTTCAATGGCTGTCTGATGTTAGCTTCTGTAACCCATTTAACAAACTGACGAAATGTCCCAGATGGCTGAAGTTAGAATATATTGGAACTTCATCATTCTTGGTTTTGTTCTCTTTGATAGTGGTGAAAGAATGCTTTCTGATATAGAACCAAAATGTATTGCGACACAACAGAAAGTCTGGTACAAGGTGTTCTTACGGCAATTGTTTTTTGTGATACTGTGGAAAGATGTTATGTTGTTGTGTTTAGTAGGATTCAAAGCTAAATAATATGAAGATTTGAATGAGATCTTGATCTGGCATACTAGCCCTAGAAAATAATTTTCCTGTGCAACTTTTAATTAAAAAGTATCTTCGTATTGGTAAGTTGCTAACGAAGCTTATGTTTAATGAACTCGTTTTACTATCTTTATGTCTTTTTGTTTCCTTACACTATTCAAGTATTGACTGCCCAGGTCCTCTTTCGTCTGTATGGAAGGAATGGCTTAAATGGTGTATTGAATTTGGTATCGAGGCAAATGCAATTGTTGCTGTTCCATATGACTGGAGGCTATCAGCATCAATGCTAGAGGAGCGAGACCTCTACTTTCACAAACTAAAGTTAGTTTATTATAGTAAATCTTGACTGAAGTTGCTCCGTTATCTTATTATGTGCTGTAATTATCTCCAACGAATTTGTGGGAGTGAGCATGCTAATATCTTCTGATATGTCCATATGCCTTTTTTGCTTATTTATTTTTACTGCCTGGTCTCTTTATGCTGTCATATTTAACCTGTTACACATAATTCATCTGACAACTGCATGGAAAGCACTTGATAATTTGCTCCTTGATTGATTTGGTCAGCATTTTAAAATTCTTAACGGAGATAGTTAATTTGTGATTAAGCACTGATGGCTGATTTAGAATTTGATTTTTTTTTTACCAAGTTCCCATCTGTTGCCTCTTTTTTTTATTGGTTTTATCTTATCTTGAATACTTTTATTTCTAGGAATAAAATTTAATGATTGCTATTTTTTTGTCTATATATTTATTAGTCATGTTGTATATACTTGTTATTATTGTGTACTGAGTATAAGTCTTTATATTTGCAGAAAATCCTCTCTTTTATCATTAAAAACATTTCTTCCTCAACTTCATCCGCATTGATGAACTTCATCTGCATTGATGAAAGTCATACATGAAATAAATTCAACAACTGGGAGTTAATACATGATATTCAATGGTAACCATGACTAGCTGATCTTCGGGGATGCAGAGTCTCATGGGTCTTCATTTCATTTTATATTTTAGAGGGCAATGATGATGTTGATAACCCCTTTTATTATGATTTTTATTTTCTGCACCCGTTATCAAAGTCAAGAAACCCTTATAGTGTCCTATTCCTGTAATGGCGACTTCTTAGGAAGTTGTCAATGTTGTAGATAGAAGTGATAGAGGTGACGGGACATTTGCATGTGAGGATAAGAGCAACATGCTTCATCTTCGATCGGCAGCCCATTTAGAGTTTTATTATTTGGTGTGCCCACAAATTTTTGATCTTATCTTGTTTTGAATCAAGCTACCTCACTCTGGGGTTTAAGTACTTGAGAATTATAAGTTACCTTATTTTTTATGTTTAAGATGATTGAGTTGCTTAAGGAATTTGCACGCTTAATATGTAGATAACATAATAATTTTATCTTTAAGTGAGTTTAAACGATGCGATAAAACACAAAGAGCGGTAAAACAAATTTAGGCCAAATTACATGCGTAGGAGTTAAGATCGTAAACAATCAATTTAATCTAATGTTGCATACATGGATGATTTTCAACAAGAGATCCCAATGTTAACAATAAGATTAGTTACTATGCAAAGATCCCTCAATCAACTCTCTAGATTACTAAGTCTTAGTGGAGAATAGTTGATATGATCTTTGTAAATCCAAAAATAGCTACAATTGAGAAGTAACTTGGAAGATAAGAGAGTTAGAGGAAGAGTTTTACCCAAAGAAACATAAAACACGAAGCTCCGATGTCGATGTGTGGCTGTTTCTGCAGTTGGATAGCAATCAAAATCCTTTCACAAGTCCGGACAGCAATGGGGATGGCGCAGGGTTTTTCGGACAGCAACTACAAAAGCATGGTCAGCAGCTTTGGGTCCTGGGATGGCTTAACCACAACAAAACTTCGGCTGGAACCTTGGGACAGCAAGAGGAAAAGCTGGGACAGCAATTTCCAATGTTTGGAGAAGGAGGACAACCACTATAAACGTTCTAAATTTTCTGGACAGCAAAGGGGCTATAGGAATAGTCCTCTAGCAGCAAAGGGGATGGAGTTTGGAGAGTTAACCAAGAGGAGGTAGGAGGGGAAGGGGGCCGGCTAGGGAAAGGAATAAGAGAAATTTCTGTGATTATATTTCTTTTGGGTTTGGTGTGGGGTTTGATTTGCAATTTTGAATTTCAAATCAAGAGAAGAGGAAGGAAGGTATCCCAAAACGATGGGAGTAATTGATGTTCCTAAGAAGGTAGGAATTAGTTGAGAAAGAGAAAGAAGAAGAAGAGGGAGCATGGGGGCGGCGGCATGGAGAGAAAGGGGAAGGATTTGGTGAAAGGAATCAAGGCATGCCCTTTTAGGAATCCTAAATTGAGGAGGAATCAAATCCAATCTAATTCAAATTTGACTTGGATTGAGATTTGAGAACTTTCCTAAAATAGGTATCCTTAATTAGGAAGTAAATCCAAATTTATTTGATTTGAATTTTGGAATTTGAATTCAATGCTAAATCAAGGGGCTAAAATAGGAAAGGGGTTTGAATGGATGGAGGAATTTGTGGAGCTCATGGGAAAAGGGGGCGGCCGACGGCATGCTTGGAGTAGGGATTGATTGGATGGGTTTCCTTAAGTGGTCTCGTCTAAAATTAGGAGGAATTTATGGGTAAAATATTTCTCTTAATTTTAATTTAAAGTTAGATCCAAGAATTGAATACTTTCCTAATATAGATTATGTCGATTTTGGAAAGATTTCAAAATCTGAATTTGAAATCAGATTTTGAATTGGATTTCCTTCATAATCTTCATGCTCTACTTTGGAAAGAAACAAACAATTAATTTGGATCCAAGGGAGGGGAAGGCCGGCGGCTAACTAGGGTTAGGGCTTTGGATGTGGCGGTTTGAAGATGGAGAGTAGGTTCGGCGGGTGAGGTTGGTTGGCGGCTTGAAAGAGGCGGTGGGGTTTGTTGGCCGAGAGGGGGAGGGGATCTTGTTGAGGTTGACCGGCAGCTTGAGGACTTGAAGTGGCCGACGGGTGTTTGGGAAAGGCGAGGTGGCCGGATGTAGGGGAAAGAAAGAAATGATAAGAAAATACTACGAATACTAACCGCGAGTCCCGGAATCCACCGGCGGCTGACGGGTGATGTGTGGCCCTCTCTAGGGTTTCTCCTCTCAAGAACTCACAAAGAGATCAAGAACAAGAAAGCTGAATTTTCATTAATAATCATTTATTCATTAACCTCATAAGAGGGAAAAGAGGGCTATAAATAGGTTCCATACAAGAACAAAACAAAAGACCAAATTACCCCTTGGGGTTACTTGCATCTGGTCCCTCAAGTGAGAGTAAAAACGGAAAAGAACACTAAAATAATAAAATTACAATACATCAATCAGAAATAAAAGATGCGAGCGTAGCCGTAAATCTTCGATGTCTCCTCGCGCTAGAATATCCTGTAGATGTCCTCATCTGGAACTGTATGTCTAAAAACAATTACTCTCTCAGCTTAATTCGCTGGTGCTTTATCCTTCCCTAAAACATGTAAATAAATAGGGTGAGTGCACAGCTCAACAGGTCACACGAAATTTACAACTATATTCAATATGAAGAAGATAGATCAATATGTATGCTATTATCAATTAATCATAAAAGCTAATCGTATGCTGAATCAATATTATTCTATGCTTATTCTTATACCTATATCATATATACAAGTATGATCAACATCCTCATGTAGGAATCATATGCTTATGTCTGTTCTCATGATCATCTCTTATAATTATTATATGTTAGTATATCAATACATGCATCCTATGTGTATTATTATGCTAGTCAATATATTCATAGCTGTATCACTCTTGTATTATCATTTATGCTAATGAATTATCATATGCATCATTTATATGTATCTTATTCATATATATAAATGCTAGGCATACTATCATATTCAGGTATATCATTATCATGTACATATTAATAAATTATGCCTTGCATCATTATATTTAGCAACATCACCATATCATGTTTATGTGTATCAATATAATGTCTTATATCACATTAGGGACATATATCTATCAATGTTATATATCATATCATATTAAAATCATTAGGGTATATGACAGAACAATAGTCATGTGATAGTATCATATATTTGACTATTAGATGTGGAATATAGTTATTTAAATGATCATGTGTTATTACAGACATAACCTCATTATCATGTATACTAGAACTATGTATCATGTGAAATCATCATGTATACGTCAATGGCATACGTGTCAAAATAAATGTGAGATCATGCATCACCATGAGTGATATTCTTTTCGTTATCATAGAAGTTCATATAACATCAAAAATAACATGTGTATCAATAGGATTGATATGTCATCAAAAATTATCTTGAGCAGGCATGAATCTTGAGGCGAAAATCAAGTTGGAAATTTCAAAAAATGAAATCCGGGATCATCTGAACTACGATTTCAGCAAACTTATAGTCAAACTGAGCGTCTCGCAAATACAAACCCAACGACACCAAATTGGACTCAATCCGAGCCCAAATGAGTCCAAATCAAGGACCCGAAGCTCTGTTGGAAGGTTTAAACCATAATTTGGATTACCAAACAGTTTCCAAACATGACGAGCTTATAGTCGAATCGAGCGGCTCGACGAGACAAATCCAACGAGCCCAAGATCGCCAAATTCTGATATCATTAAGACCTTCAAATGTCTGATAAACGGTTCACGATCAAAGGATTCAATATCGACCGTCCATTCGAATCACTCCATATTTGCCCCTGATCTCTCATCTATTTACGGGCCATGCCACTCCAAAAAATCTATAAATAGACCCCTCATTTCTCTTGAGAGGGGACCCTAGCAAGAAGAAGCAAGAAGAAGAGAAGAAGAAGAGAAGAGAGGAGAAAGATAGGAGGGAATAACTCCTCGACCACTGTTGAAGTTCTGCCCAATGTCGGAGTGGCACCAGAATTCTGCCGAACGCCGGGGTGACGTCGAAATTCTGCCGCACGCCCGAGTGATGCCGGAATTCTTCCCAAGTGACGTTAGAATTCTGTCCGACGCCGGAATTCTACCGGACTTCCAACGACGTCAAAATTCTGCTCAACTTTGGAACGACGCTGGAATCCTGCTCGCGTTGTAACTGGCTTTCAATCCTAAAGAAATTCATTATAACATGATCGTCCTAAATTTTAAGGACAACTCAGCCTCTTGTACTTCAAGCGAACACTAGTGGAACTATTTCAACTGGGCGTGGCCTTGTGGTTTTTCCCCTTTCAGGGTTTTCCACATAAAAATCTTAGTATCTCCAGTGAATGACGTACCCTCTCTTTTTAT